TTCGGATATTAATTATTTATTAGATAATATTCACTAGTATATTAATTATTTAAAGCAAAAAAATCAAAGGTTAATTACCTAATAAGGTTTAAAGTGATTAAGTAACTAACATAAAATTTATATCTCGCTGAATAAAAGTTGGTTAAAAAAACGATTTTAAATAACACTTATCTTGTTTTTTGATTTGGAACATACTTCAGAGGTTATCATACTTTTAGTATTGTGGAGCTCTTTAGGATAAGATTTTTCCTATTGCGGACAGCTTCACATATAAATAACACTTGTATTATTCATCATGTCTATTAATTTATCCACTAACTTTATCACACTACAAAAACAAACTTTCAAAAAGAAAAAAAGCTGTATCAACTTTTACGTGCATAATATTATTTTCTGTTATAAATGTTTCAAATTCAATAGACGAAGAATCAGTACCTCGATTGGATACGATTCTAATTGGGCGACTATAATTTTGAAAATATTGATCTAATTTATGAATTACTTTTATAGTTTTAGTTGTCTTAACAACATAAAATTTAGTAAATTTAGTAAAACCGTCAATAACTTTAAAGATATACTTTTTATTGTCAGAAGATTTATCCAAAGGACCATAATGATCAACATGTAAAGTCAAAAATGGTTTATCTCCTTTTGGAATGTTATGCAAAAAGCCTTCAGGTTTTTACGAAGAATATGTTATACATTCTATGCAGTTTTGAATATGTCTTAACTTTATTATAAAAATCTGGAAACCAATATACCCTAGCAATATATTCAGACGTTTTGTCAATTCCTAAGTGTCCTAATAAGCCATGGCAGTGAAATAATACTTGGTTTTCCATAGATCTAGGAACATAAAAGAAAGTTTTTGACTTATCTTTAAATTTTCTATAGACAAGACCGTTACGCAGTTCGATTTTTTATTTTCCGAGATTAGAAGGCTTTCTTTAATAATTTTAATATCAGGATCTAAATGTTGTGCAATGGATAAGTTTTGTTCAAATGCGTTTTTTAAGGCGTCTACATGTGTCATACGACCGCCTTCTCGATGTTCTAAAAATAGTTATAGTTTTGTAAAACTAATGCCCATCGATTAATTTCCTTTTTGTTTAGCGCTAACTTAATAGAATAGTTACAATCGGTTATAATTTTAAAGGTAGGTATACCTAACAAATAAACTCGAAATCTTTCTAGTGCATTCACTGTTGCAAGCATCTCTAATTCGTAGCTATGTAACTTTGATTCTAATTCTGATATTCTCTTGCTAAAAAAGAATACAGGTTGAAAAATATTATTTTTTTTGTTTTTGTAACAAGATTGCACCGTAACTAACATCACAATGTAATTCTGTTTCTAATTGTGGCGAAAAAATAGCTAAAACTGGAACTTGTATTTATTTAGATTTTAAATTATTAAACGATTCTAGCTGATCTGCTTGAAATTCAAAGGTTTATCCCTTCCTTAATAACTCATATAATGGTTTAGCCAGTATTGAAAAAGATAATTAAAATGATATTGAAAGATATCCTAAAAATCAATTACCTTAATACCTTTGTTCGAATAACACCAGGCATGGCAATGTCAATATGAGAGTAAAAATATTGATGTCACTAGTTTAAAAAAATGAGCGATTCGGAAAATATTCCCTCTAACATTGAAGAAGAGGCATTCAGAGCCATTTCTGGATTACTTCCAGCAAGATCGAGACAGAAGTATGAATATACATACTCTAAGTATGAAAAACGATGCACCGAAAAAAAGTAAACAACTATGGAAATGAAACGGTAGTCGTAACATATTTTTCCAATTTAGTGCAAAATAAATGTTTTACAAAATATTTTTTTCTTTATTCTAAACAAGAAGTGCGGAAATGAAAATGGGTGAGTTAAGAAGCTCTTAACTCACTCAAAATGCGTGAGTTAAGAGCTTCTTAAGTCACTGACCTAGAGAAAGATATTTACTACCATATAATAGTATTATAATGTAATTTAACAATGCTTCCTAATTAAAAATGAGCTATATGCGTATTTAAAGAAAAATGTATATTCAGTTATATTTTAAACAAGTTTTTGTCTGTATTTTTTATGAATTTATTTAAAGTTGATCCCGTTTCGTTAATAATTTCAGTTCACGTCTTTCAAACAAATTCCATCCAAAAACAAACTTCATTTTTGTTCTGTTTAAAAACAAGTGAAAATGTCTCTACAGCTACATAAAATTGCCAGTTAATTTTCCGGTTGCGTGACCCTTCCAACTTTAGCGAAACATCTTCTCTATCCCAATATGAATAAATTCAGCGTTCCGTCAGAATTTTGCAAAAAAGTGGTGGGCACAAAAGAATTAATTTAAACAGAAATGACTTTTTACCTCTGTCGCTAATCCTGGCGAATATTGTACAGTCGGATAACATGCCATGCGGTATTGTTAATATAATTGGTTTGCCTTTGAAAAATGAAAACATACAGCATATTTTTTTCTGTAGTAATCGACAAATTGCCTGCGACAGAAGCTTATTGATTAAAATTAAATATGTATAGTGTATGTTATTAATGTGTATGTCGCAGGCGTATCGAATAATGCGAACGTTTGCAAAAAGACTAGGCATATTTTAATACGCCGGCATTTTAAACAAAATAAGTAATTTTTACACTCGTTTTTACACAGAGCATATCTATTTTCAGCCGCTTTGCAAAGTGCCAAATCAGAATTAGACATATTAAACAATGATGTCAGATGTTTTCTTAAGATCTCTGCAAAAACTGCTTGTTTGCAGACATTTTACGAAATGAGGTGCAGAAGATGTGCATGTGTTTGTGAGAGAGAGAGAAATTTGATTATAGTGGCATCAGCATCCGCTGCCTTAGCTACTTAAAAAATCAGGATCACCTACTTAAAAAAATAACCATTAAACAAGAATAACGAGATTTACAAAAACATACACTGTAAATCTAAACTAAAAGAAATAAAATAATATTAATTACACGTAAACACAGACAAAAAAGTCTAACATAAGAAGAAAAAAAAACAAACAATAATCAAGGAATATCAAAACGATACTCTAGAATCTATTCATATCCATTTGTTATAAGCAAATTAAATACATATATTTGATACCAATTAAACTTTTAGTTACGTAATTGAGTGCGCGATTTTTAAATGCATTGTTACCAGCCATGGACATATTCGGCGCCGGACTGGCTAACTTGAATTTAAATTTCCCGCTGGGGATTCAGGTGGTAGCTCTGCTGTGAAAAATGTCAAGTTGCCAAATTTCTATATTTATTTTCCGACATTGTCATTTGTTTTGACACTTTACTTTTGTATTACGAGTTTTTGTTTTAAATAAATACTGTTGTGATATTTTAAGCTTAAAAATGTTTATTAGCAGACCTGGCAGTCGAACATTGTTCTTTTTCGAACCTCTTTTACTGCGAAGTGTTCAAGATAGGTTAATAGCCGTAAAAACTCATCGCAACTTTATTGGAATATTTTGAACGGAAAACCGGTAGTAATAGCCCTTTATGTCCCTTAAGTGCTGTTAAGGAGGTGAGTTTTGTTGATGTAAATAATAACTTGTTTCCTAAAATATTTTGATTAAAAGAAAATATGTAAAAGTGGGTAACGCTGTGCCGGTCAAGCTTAATCACGTGTCTAAAAGTTCATTTGATATGAACCACAGAACAGATACAAATTAGAAATTTCACTGATGGGATTTTCGTTGTCAAGATTTAATTTTTTATGTTATATGCGCGCAGAGGGATCAAAACCATGCGCAAAGTTTTTGTGAGGTTGCCAAGGTGACCCATAATTCTCAGTACTTGAAAAATGTATTTTTATATTATAATCCTACGGCTACATTTCTTCACTCATTTAGCATTTCTTTCACGAAATAAGTAACGCAAGTATACAAGAATTACCGAATATACATAATTATGAGGAATTTGATATATTTGGAAAATTAAAGTATGCCTAAAAATTAACATTATTATTACGAAAAACGCGGCATGGCAACGTCCCTTGAGCGAAGCATTTTGCGACGTAGCACAGTGGGGCAGCGAGCCCGAAAAGATACCGAAAAATCTAATTTTATTTCATATCTATTACAACTGCTTCTAAATGCTTTCTTAAGTGGTAAAATAATATTTTGTCAAAAGATTTAAAAGATTTTATTATAGTACGAGACATCAGCCGAGGTATGTCAAAAGCTAATGCATTTTATACAAGCAAATAATAAATTTATTTAACTTTTAAACGTCTTAAAGGCCCTAAAACCTTGATGAGCATTCTTTGTTGTATTTCACAAATCACTGTGGCTTATTTCAATATTTAAGTCTAAAAAAACAAAAAATGATATGGAAAAATTATATTGGAAAATAATATGTTATGTTGGGTCCTATTCCTATGTATTCAAATTTCAAATTTATAATTTTCTAGTTAATCAGCACAAAACAGCAGTAAGTTTTAGTACCAAATTAAAGGTAAGAGCTTGTATATTAAGAATTAATTAAAGTGCTTGGGGAATACAAAGGTATCATTAACTTTTTAGACAGATAAATCAACAACTTTAAATTGTTTTGTAGAATTTGTTCACTTTTAACTGTAACCTAATTATTTTGCTCAAGCTATCAAAGTATCCAAAAACAGTTTTTATAGAAATAATCTACACTTACCGGAGTTAGTGTTAGCCATTTAAATTTTAATTTTATTATATTTCGTTATAAAGAAATACCACTTTGAAATTGAGCAATATTTTCATTAAAAAATATTAATTTATTACGTTTGGATTATTGTCAACTTTGACAAGCTGCAGCAGGTGTTCTACTGGAGATGCTGATCCAGGGCTGGCATGATCAAATAAAGAGAAGAATTTTGCATAGTTTGCGAGTATTTTTTTGCTTAAATCTCATATTTCAATTTTCGACTTTCTGGTAACTTTTATGGGTCTAGGCCCCTCTGTGCGTAGTACGAAATGTAACAAAAATGTACCTCATTTTCTGTACAAAAAAGTTAAAAAATATTATCATTGAAATATTTAAACCAAAACAATTGAAATTGATTTTAGAATAAATAAAACCAACGGACATCGTCAATTTTGCACTCTGCAATCTGACAACTGACAACGTTGTTCAACATTTCTAACCTAAAAATATGAATGCATATTGTCATATGAACGGGCGGAAAAGTAAATTAAAATAATTTTAATTTACTTTGTGGTGTGTTTGTGATATTTTGCGACTATATTTGTTTGACAATTTTGTTTATAATGGGTGTTGGTTACTGCTGTGTTCCCGGCTGTTTAAGCAATACGGAGGCTGATATGGGTCTTAGCTTCTTTTAATTCCCATTGGATCCAAAAAGGTACATAAATATTTTTTATCTACACAATAAGGAATGTTTCCTCTAGAATTTTAGACAATCTAGTAAGATTTTTTAGAAATTCTAATGTTTTTGACAGACTCATATATGTACAATCATCTATTAAATAACGAAAAATATTTTAATAAATTCTAGATGTTCTGAGTGGGTTAAGAACTGAAATAGGCAGGATTTTAGAGCAAAATCACTTGTAGATTTGCATAGAGGGTATAGAGTTTGTGGAAAACACTTTCAACCTACCATGTTTGCGGGAATGTCTCAAAGCCGTCTAAAGAAATTTGCTGTTCCAACTTTATTTATGTCAGGTAGGTTCATAAGCATTATTATTAATTTTACTTGTTATTTTTTTCAAATCATCAGTCGCTTGTTTATCTGCACAATCGATTTATACACTTGCACAAAGGAACATTTAAATAAACAAAAATTGTTTATAGATAGGCACTTAGAAAATCCAGTTTCAGTCTGTTCGTGGTGGTTCTGTGTAATATTTTCAATATTTTTATGACAAATCTTATATTACTGAAAAACAAAAACTTTTGACAATAACATTTAGCTTTCAATTTTGCCTCTTAAAATTGTGTTTGTGTTATGCTCAAAAAAATTAAATAAATATATTTTTGTAGACAATTCTATGATGGAAGTTGAAGCTACTATTCCTGCTGTTCCTGTTACATCTGAAGGTGAGTAAAATACAATTTTTTTAACCTTTTAAACACAATGCAATAGGGTATAGAATTCTAGTTTTCAATAAATATTTTAATTTATGTTTTCAGCTGTTTCAGAATCTACTTCACCAGATGTAATTGCTATTCCATCAACATCCAAGGAAGTTACATCTGAAGGTGAGTAAAATACTATTATCTTTTAAACACAATGCTGAATATAAATCTGAATTGCCATACCAATATCGCGTATAGAATTCCAGTTTTTAATAAAAAAATTTTTATGTTTTCAGCTGTTTCAGAATCTACTTCACCAGATGTAATCGCTATTCCATTAACATCCAAGGAAGTTACATCTGAAGGTGAGTAAAATACTTTGTAAGCACAAGGCTAAATACAGGGTGGCGCACCTCATTCGCCTCGGTTGATTATACGAAAACGTAAAGATATAGAAACAAAATATTTTATGGGTATATGTGGAAAGGCAATGTACTTAATTTAAAATTATTTTGAAATGTATAGGGTGTGTCAGAACTAAGATCCATACCAAAGTTATTTTTTTTTCTTATGGGACACACGGTATTTTGACTCTTGAACATAAAATAAGGTATTTATTATAAGGGTTTAATATGTTTAAAAGCTTTGGTGTTTGAGATATTTAAAGACATTTAAATATGCATGTTATAATAACAATGTTTGTCAACACCCTGCACATTAATTTTTAAGAGTTAATTCTTGTGCTGACTTTGAAGCCAGAGAAATAAACTTTACTAAAAAAATGTATTGCATCCTTAAATGTATACAGGGGTATCAAAAATTGCTGGTCTATTTTAAATATTTACTTTACATAAAATCCTTTCTATACCTATCTGGCTCAGATTTTGAATAAAGAGCGACTTTTCAATAAAATGGCAATCATCATGGCAATTTGCTAGTGACAGTTATAGTAGCTCTTTTCAAAATCGACATTAGTTTATGGACTTTATTTAAATTTATAACAGTTTATTTTTATTTAATTTACCTACAATAGTTTAATAAGTATTTATTATTTTATCAAGAAAAATAAAGTAGTAGTTCTTTGATTTACTGGTAGATATATTGGATTTTCTATAAAAGAGCCAATTAAGGCAAATTCATTTTCTTCACTTCCAACAACAGGTTTCTGTCTAGTAGGTTTCTACATCTTTCCGTTGTCGTACAATCAACTGAGGCGAATGAGGTGCGCCACCCTGTATAAATCTGTACTTCCATACTAATATAGGGTATAGAATTCCAGTTTTCAATAAATATTTTTTTTGGTAGTTTGTTTTTATAATATTTAGAGAAGATCAATATTTCAAATAGATAAATAATATTTTTTTATTTCTTGTTTGTATAGATTTTTCACAACAGACACCTACATCCCTTAGTGCAGACAGTCCAAGAAAACATGGGTTAAGGTTACAAATTAGAAGTTTGAAAAGAAAGTTGGAATTTCATCCGGAATATTCATTCATATTTTTATAAATAATTTAATAATTATATTTTAATTTAAAACGGTAAAATAAAAGCAAAATGTGTTATTAAAACTAAATTTTTATCGATTTTACTTTATATAGATATGTTTCTAAATACGATAAATTCCTAAATACAAATTTTCTTTACAATTTAGATATTTGTAATTAGCAAGTAAGTTTAGTTAGATCATAGATATTTATCTATTCTTTTTTTTAATTTTTCATTTGTATTAATAAATTTTAGGATCATTTACATTTAAGTAATTGTATTAGATTTTGTACCTAATATCACATTGCTAGGATTATATGTATAATTTTTGCATATTTATAATAACAAATAAAATGCTATTTTATATCAGTCGAATTGTTTTTATTATGTTCTGTCTACATTTTCAAATGAAAGTTTGTATTGAAAAAATTTAAAATTGCTGAATCATAAAATCATGACCTATCCTAGAGACCTATCCTAGAAAAACGAGATACAAAACAATGACTCAACTCAATGAACACTTTTTTTTTGTAAAATAACGCTTTAAACATTTGAATCAATTGGCATGGTTTTTCGTATTATTTTCACACATCATTTATCTTGTCACCACTAAATATTACTTATTGCAAATAAATACTGTTAAAAAAACGAAATACGCTCCTGTTACGATTCACACGTATCTGAGTTCGACCCTGGCTCGTTTAAAGCCGTCAACTAATGATCAGCTGAGCGGCGCGCAGAGGGATGAAATCTGTGCGCGACGAACGGAATTCTTACAACACACTTGAAAGGCACCGACGTTCAGTGAAATTTCTGATTTGTATCTGTTCTGTGTATGAACTATATGTTCCAATTAGTGTGTATCTCTAGTATTAAAGCTTCGGGTTTTTAACACCTGTTATAAAATATATTTTTCAAAAACTTCCATAATGCAATAGCTTATGATTCGCATTTTTCTAAACATTATACTTACCACGGTTAATAAGTACCACTTACTCCAGTATACCACCCGTAAACCGGAATATCATTAATTTGATTGTTTACGTTAATTTTAAAACGTTGCTATATTCGATTCATTCGATTTTTATTATACTCACCGGCACGAAAAACGGGCACCTTTTTCCACGGAAAAAAATTTGATGTATTTTAAAGTTTTATATACAGGGTGCTATAAATTCGAGGTACGAGCATTGGTGTCTCGGTAACAGATACGAACATGGTTAAATTGGGGCAAAGTTGCGCTTTGGGATGTTCACTAAGATGCCATCAAAAAAGTTTTAAAAATTTCAAGGATTGCTGAGTTTTTTGAAAAAAAAAAGATTTTTTGAAAATCAATTTTATTTTTTCCTGTCGTTACTTTTTAGAAAATCAAAAAACTAATTGCACATTCTCATAGCCACTTTATTAGGGCTATCCGATAGAATTTTTAGATTTTCAAATTAGCTTAAAATTGGTGAGATACAGAGGCCAACTTAATTTTTTTAAATACGGACCTGCATTTTTTATTTCAGGTTTTGAAAGAACTCGGTCTCCTGAGTACAATAATATGCCACACTTAATATTTCTTTCTGTTTCGGACATTTGAACACAATTTATTTAAACTAATTTCAACTCCGAGCTCTTTTTTTAATATTTAATATATGCATCGTTACAATATTGATGAAGCTTTCAAACTTAACAATGACCCAGCATAAAACAATGAATACAGAAAATCAAATGCAATAAAATAATAAAAAAATAATATAAATATAAGGGGGGGTGGCGTTACTTGACGTCATTTGTAAAAGTGAAATTAATACAACTCAACATTTACAATAAAGAGTACAAAATGCATTCGGAAGTATAAGAAGAAAGTTCAAAGAGCTATAAATAAAATTGAACAAAAATTTAATTTGTGCGATAGGGAGAGTGGTAACATTTTCGAACATGTAGACCATTAGTAGTGTAGAAGTTGATTTATTTATAATAACTAAGATTAATAGTATGCATATTATTAGATCGCACACTGAGATTTCAAATTCCCAATAAAAAAAGTTAAAATAATATCTTTAAATTACTGACCTGGATATGCTGCTGCTCTAAATTGCTGACCTGCGCTGATCAATATTGTTGCGATGAATATAATTATAATAAGATTAAATAATTTAAAAGACCATAGTCGGACTTTAAATTATTTTAAATAATTAATATTAAAAATAATAATTAAATAGTTTTGTTGTTGTTCAGGTAACCAAAACAAAAAAAAAGTATAAAGTGTGTCATATCATTGTACTCAGGAGATCGTGTTCTTTTAAAGCCCCAAATAAAAAATGCAGGTCCGTATTTAAAAAAATTAAGTTGGCCTGTGTATCTCACAAATTGTCAGTTAATTTGAAAATCTAAAAATATTGTTAGATAGCTCTAATAAAGTGGCTATGAGAATGTACAATTAGTTTTTTGATTTTCTAAAAAGTAACGATAGCAAAAAATAAAATTGATTTTTAAAAAAATCCGTTTTTTCCAAAAAACTCAGCAATCCTTGAAATTTTAAAGACTTTTTTGATGGCATCTTGGTAAACATCCCAAGGCGCAATTTTGCCCCAACTTAACCATCTTTGTATCTATTACGGTTTCCGTGATACCAATGCTCGTGCCTCGAATTTGTAGCACCCTGTATATTGTGTTCTAGTGGACTGATTTTTTAAATAATTTGTAGTTAAATTATTTGATTTTTAGTATATCTCTTTCTAAATTAAAAATGACTTGAAGGAACGAAAGTTTCCATCTTATCGAATATACGAGGGAAAACTATATGTTGATATTTTGGTGAAAGTTTGAAACGCTCGGCCCGGCCCTTTGGATTATATTAACAAAGCAAGGAATTTAAAAATAATTTTATTATCTAGGTTCATCTTTTTTCGTTTATTTTTTGGTTCATATCAGCTTACCTTAACCTTAAACCTTATGTCACGAAGGTCTTCTTCGAGACGCTTAATATTTTTATTATATGTTTTTGTTTTTACCGTTCCGTACCCCAAAAAGAAAAAACAGAACCCTTATAGGATCACTTCATTGTCTGTCCGTCTGTCTATCAAGACACTTTATCTCGAAAACGCGTGGAGGTATCAAGTTGAACTTAAAATCATATATTCAAGTCCACAGTTCTTTGAAGCCCTGAAAAACTCAAACAAGTTAACGCAAAAAAAAGATACGGCCGTTTATGCCGCAAAACAAACGCACATTTCTCGTCTTAAAAACCAAAACGCGTTTCTATGGTAATATGATTTTGTTTTCGTTTTTTGATAGATTGTTATTGGATAGACATATTGAACGTCATATTTTTTGCTGATTTAAAATGTTAAAGAAACCGCCCAGAATTATATTTTATATTATTTCTCTCAAATTGATATAAACCGAAGTCAGCTTTAACTTTAGTTCTTGACATTGGTTGTAATGTGGTAGATTTGCGTCCTTATGTTATAGATGAAAATGAGTTCGCAAGTTTAGAACCAGGAAATAAACAACCTTTTATTTAAAAAGTTGCCGATGTTTCGACGTATATTCTTGATAAAGACGAAAATACACGTCGAAACGTCGGTAATTTTTTAAATAAAAGGTTTTTTTAATTCCTGGTCCTAAACCTGCGAACGCCATTTCAATTATTTGTTGTTTTAAGGACATATCGCCTTTAATTAATTTATCTCATTATGATAATGTTTGTTGAAATAAACCTCTTTTTTTCTGTGTTTTAGGTACCCCATTACAAAAGTGACATCTAGATTAAGTAAGTACTCATAAATAGAGCAATATGTAATAACACAAAACCATAAAATGTGTAGTTAAAAAAATATATCTGTTTACCTACACTCATACAACAAAAATACTTTGTTGTTTTGTTTTTTCGTGACATTTTGCATCGACTTTTCTTTCTTCATTAGTGCAATTCCTCATTGATCGCTAGAGCTATTGTGAATATCATATGTGTCGGTCTGTGAAAAACGTATAATTATTGTTTTAATTTTTATTTATATTGTTTTAGGTTGAATTGTGTGCGATAACGTATGTTTGTTTTATTTTATGTATATTGTTTTAGGTTTAATTGTCTGTGATAACGTATGATTCATATTATTTTATTTTTATGTGTTTAGATTTACATTTAATTAATTATTAATATTGTTATTGTTGTTTAATTGTTATTAATAAGCGGAGACATATTGTTGTTATACGGTCGATATATTGAAACTTTATTTATTAAATAGGTATATTAGCAGATATAATTGATTCATATTTGTATTATACAGTCGTCAACATATTCAGACTATATTTATTAACAAGTACAACGGATATTACTCGTTTCTAAAGTACCTCTTTGATAATGTAATTAAAAGTGATAAAATGTGATAAATTTTAGATAAACCCGGCTATAAACTGAACGCAATAAATTTGAACGGAACAAAGCCCTACACGTTCAGACGTCACGTTTTGAGGCTAATGTTTTCGTTGTATATTGGCGGCGTACATGAGCCGTATTATTATATACACCGTAAAAGTTGCATCATCGGCGAGGCAACTTCATAAAAGAACATCAAGTTCGAATTTGAACAACGAACGGCCGGGCAGCGGTCGTGACAGATGGCTATAATATCGGAACTCATTAGGACGAGACGGTCACGAACAGTAGGTCCACAGATTCCGATTATATCGCCGACAGTGCCGTATTGATTATGACCGTTATTAGCCATCGGTACAATTAGTGTCGATCGAGGGATTTTGTGTACGGATCCTACGTAACGAACGTCGTTCATTATTTACAATTTCATTAGATGCAGAAACTGTACAGATTGTGCTCGTTTGCTAGCATCCTTCCACCACATTTCCATTATTTTTGAAGATAAATAATCGCGTTTCTTTCAGATGCAGGTAGTTTTTCATATAAAGGTACTTTTAGACGATCATTTCAGTTCAAAAATTACGATCTATTTAAACAATCATTACAGCCCAGTCAAATTAGAGAAATCGGTGGAAAAAATCCCACAGTTTTGAAAATGGTTTTAAATAATTTGTCTAGACTTAGGCTCATATGAGTCAAAAGTCCCCGAAGA